TATATATATATATATATATATATATATATATATACATACATACATACATATAGTTGAAGTCAAAAGTTTACATACACCTTGCTGAATCTGCCAAATGTTCATTATTTTACCGAAATAAGAGGGATTATACAAAAGGCATGTTATTGTTTATTTAGTGCTGATCCAAATAAGATATTTCACATAAAAGATGTTTACATATAGTCCACAAGAGAAAATAATAGTTGAATTTATAAAAATGACCCCGATTCTTAATACTGTGTTGTTAGCTGTATGATCCACAGCTGTGTTTTTTTGTTTAGTGATAGTTGTTCATGAGTCCCTTGTTTGTCCTGAACAGTTAAACTGCCTGCCGTTCTTCAGAAAAATCCTTCAGGTCTCACAAATTCTTTGGTTTTGCAGCATATTTGTGTATTTGAACCCTTTCCAACAATGACTGTATGGTTTTGAGATCCATCTTTTCACACTGAGGGACTCATATGCAACTATTACAGAAGGTTCAGACGCTCACTGATGCTCCAGAAGGAAAAACCATGCATTAAGAAAACTTTTAAACAGAATGAAAATATGTAAATTTTTCATATTTTACCTAAATATCATATATATATATATATATATATATATATATATATACATATACAGTGGGAGCTCTTCAGAAGCTACAGAAGATATTTACATGTTTCCCAGAAGACAAAATAAGTGAAATTTACCCTGATCTTTTATTTTTGGCTCTTAATGCATGGTTTTTCCTTCTGGAGCATCAGTGAGCGTTTGAACCTTCTGTAATAGTTGCATATGAGTCCCTCAGTGTGAAAAGATGGATCTCAAAACCATACAGTCGTTGTTGGAAAGGGTTCAAATACACAAAAATGCTTGAAAACCAAAAGAATTTGTGAGACCTGAAGGATTTTTCTGAAGAACGGCAGGCAGTTTAACTGTTCAGGACAAACAAGGGACTCATGAACAACTATCACTAAACAAAAAAGCACAGCTGTGGATCATACAGCTAACAACACCGTATTAAGAATCAGGGGGATGTAAACTTTTGAACGGGGTTTATAAATTCAACTATTATTTACTATATGTAAACATCTTTTATGTGAAATATCTTATTCAGGTCATTACCAAATAAACAATAGCATGCATTTTGTATGATCCCTCTTATTATGGTAAAATAATTAACATTTTGCAGATTCTGCAAGGTGTATGTAAACTTTTGACTTCTACTGTATACATACACACACACGTATTTTTATATTATATATGTTTTCAGAACTAGGAATGAAAAGTTTTGTGGAGAGGTTACATGGAGAAAAAAAAGTATATATACCTGTATATAATTTTAATAACACATTTTATATAAGGAAATAATATTTCTCGGCAGCTTATGGAAAAAATATGCTGAAGGAAATTACTTTAAAATGTGTTTTTCAAAACTAGGAGTGACTAAAGTGTGAGGTTTTTTGGCAGGTTACTTGAAAATGTAATGTTTTTCTGGCTGCTGTGCAGTTATTCTTTTTGTTGTATTATTTCTAATTTGTCATTTTGGATGAATCGTTTACTAAATCAATAAATGTAAAGCACTGTTCACACCAAGAATGACTAGATCACACTGAACCGATCACTGAAGAAAATTAGTGGCAAAAATTTGCATGAACAAACGTGAGCGAAACATACTAAAATAAAACAAAGCATTAGTTTGACGGCAAATGTTCAGTGTGATGAGTTCTATAGGGATGCATTGTTTTGTTTTAACAGTGTGGGAATTGACTGTGAAAATCTACACTGTGTAAATAGGCCTTAAATGTATGCAAATTAGTGTCTGTGACTCGGTGTGAATGAGTACATGAGGCTTCACAGTGCTGCATGGGAAACTTCTGCTTTACTTTATGACAGTGTCTCGACATCTGATTCTGAAAATGAGTTATTAAAATGAACCAGCAGGTTATTATTCAGAGTGTTGTGAATGTTTTCTCATTTGAAATCTCCTCATAACTGATTGTTTTTGTCTTGTACAGGGGATTTTGTTAAAAAGAAGTGGGAAGTCACTTAATAAGGAGTGGAAGAAGAAATACGTCACTTTGTGTGACAATGGTCTGCTCACGTACCACCCCAGTTTACACGTGAGTATGCCGTCTCCTCTGCTGTTAGAGATCAGATGTCTGATTCATTTTGCTGAATTGGTTCATTCTGATGATTCAGTTCAGATTCAGTAAACTGGTTCAAATAAATGATTCACTGATTTGTGTTTGGTGTAAACTCATGCATTCCGTGTCACACGTTTACCTATTCACCAACCTTTTCACTCAGAAAATGCTAGTAAATTTCACAAATAATTATTAAGAATTGGCAAATGATGCATTGAATGAAACTTGCATTTTTAAAGCACAAAGACTGAAACAGTGTTTTCTTGTAAAATGTAATCAATCATCTTTGCTGTATTTACAACTTCAAAAATCATTTTTACAGTCTACTGTTAGATGTTGATTCATTTTCAAAATATGTCTTGTAAATTCTAGAAAATAGAATAGAATTAAATACCATAAAATTCTTAAATACCCAAAACCTTAATTATTCAAGTTGGTAACTAAATCATTCTTGAACCAAATTACAGTTTTTATGACATTTGTTGGAGCAGGTAGAATAAAAAAAAAGATTTTTCAATTATTGTAGAACTTTTCCCAAAAAACATACTATTTCAGTTTTTCTCAATTTAACTCTTAAGTCAATGTGTTACTTGCCAGTTGAACCAGATTCTTAATATAATTCATTAAGAATTATTATAGTTCATTAATAATAATTTATGGATTCCAGATCATAAGGATTCTCTAAAATGGACATTCTACTTTTTTTGCTTTTCATTTGATATACTTCACAGATTGTTGATATATGAAGATATGATTTTTCTTGGTTTTCTTCATCTTTGTTTTCGTGATTTTTTTTTTTCTCTCTCTCTGTTTTTGATGAGGTTAGGCCTATGCCTCTTTTGTGCTGAGCAGGGTGATTTGCACCTTGGCTTAACCCATTTGCGCTTCGCACACTCCCATGAAAATGGAATAGCCCGATTTAAATGGGAATGAGTCTGCTCGCGGTCATTAATGCTAATTCTGCTAATCTGCGGCAGCGTGGAAACACTAGAATTACTAGATTGCGTGGGCCTGGTGCTGCTTTGATTGTCCAAAGCTGCTGTGTTTGTTTTACAAGACCTGTAAAACGTTTCTTTGGTAGGTTATAGATGCGCTGCACCTGTGCGCTGTTTGTTCGCATAAACTTTAGTCAAATTTGGTGGCATGTTGAATTTGAGGCAAATGAAAATGAGGCAGTGAATGATAAAAGTGCAGACAGTTATACACCGGAAAAGTTGATTTAGAAACAGTTTTCTCTTAGAAATTGCTGGTAGATTTCACAAATAATTACAAAAATGTGGCACATTTTGTAACACATTGACAATGTTGAGGTAGAAAGTATTTTAGAAAATAGTCAAATAGAATTTTCTTGTCAAACGTAATTGAATAATCTTCGAAAAACTATTTTTTAAAGTCTACTGTTAAGTGTAGATGAGTTTTTGAAATATTGAAAATATGTCTTTAGTTAAAAGCAAAAGCTAGGAATATTAGAACATACTTAAAATCTAGAACGTCAATACTTGCGTTTTAGAATAGACTAGAGAATACTTAAATACCCAAAACCTTAATTACTAGACAATACTGCACCAAATTATTTTTATGGCAATTGTTGGTTCAGGTACACTGTAAAAATGATTTTTCAATTATTGGATTACTTTTTACAAGAAAATATTTCTTTTTTTTTCTTCTAAATTTAATGCTTAATTCAATGCACTACTTGCAATTTCTTTGTGAAATTTACTAACAATTTCTGAGTAAAATTGTTTGTACACCAGTTGTTTTCAGTGTAACGTGCATTTGTCCAAAAATGAGGCTGAAATGGTGTACTAAAATAGTCTTGTTTTTACTGATTATGTTGAATTGAATCTGAACTTGAAATGTTTCATTTTGAAACTTATTGAATGGATTCTGCCTTTTACAGCCTCATACTCGTTCAAAGTGCGTCAAACTTGTTTACATTTTTAATTTTTAGATCGAAAACTACACACTGTTGTATTTCATTTTTCAGGACTACATGCAGAATGTCCACGGTAAAGAAATCGATTTGCTGCGGACGACGGTGAAGGTGCCTGGGAAGAGACCGCCCAGAGCGGTGGCGACGGTCGCCCCTACAGCCAGCCCCAAAACCAACGGACTGACCAAAGACCGCAGCACTTTACAACTCGGCATCGGGGCCACAAGTGAGTATGAACCCCCGTCACTGGTGTTATGCCTTAAAATGTATGAATTTATGTATTGTTTTAAGATATTCTGTGTACAGATTGTAGCAGCATTAAATTTGACTTGTTAAATTTAAATTAAATAGTTCAAAACCAATTAAAAAAATTTTTATGTGACATTTGCAAGAATACAAAAAATGCAGCGGAAGTGTTTCTATATGAGTCCGCTGGAGGAATTGGTGATGTCAGCCCGAAATGGGAAGTCGTTTCAGAGGCGAAGCAAGTTATTACGTTACGTTTTCATGGAAAATTATATAAAAACATTTTTAAAGTAATGTGCAATAAAAATTGTTCACACTATGACAATGAATTGTTCACAAAAAAAGTGAAGTACTAGAATATGATTGCATACTACAACATTTTTTTATATATTTAAATACTAGAAAATACTTAAATACCAAAAAAACTACTAGATATACTAAATAATACAACAGCTAAATAATTTTTATGACAATTTTTTATTTTTTATTTTTTGTAATATTTACATGCATTCTTCATAAAAATTCTCATGGAAAATTGCTAAGACAATTTTTAATGTGTAATAATAAATTGTTCACAGTAACCAAATGAGTATTAAAAAGTACATTTTTATTGCATTTATAATGCATTTGTTTCAAAATGTGCTACAGTATTTTAAGTCAAAAACATTATAACATTCTAATTATTTATAATTATAATTATTTACTTAACAAGCCACAAATCAGGTTGTTTTTATTTAAACTAAAATTTCACTTTACTGAAAGCCTTTATGTATAATGCATTATAAAAATAGTTTTAATACATTAATTATGCCTTGTAATGCACATTTTAATGCGCTGAACAATAATGAATAATTATAATGCATTATAACCTATAATAACCCTTTATTATGCATTATACATAAAGGCTTTAAGTAAAGTGTTACCAAATTTCAAATTCACGTTAAATTGATTCATTTAAACATGTCATAGTTCTTATAAATATTTAAAAAATCAGGAACTATTTGAGTAAACGGTTAGATATCCGTTCAGAAAACTTATGTTAGGTTGTTTGCACTGCTGATTTTCATTTTTGGCTGAATTTGCTTTATTTTTGGCCTGCAAGAACCAGATTTACTCGGTTCTGATTTACAGGTTCTCGGTACTGAGAGGGAGTTTGGGAAGGTATAATTGGATTTAGAGAGCTGAGATCAAGTGTAATTAATAAAAAACAGGAGCAACTTTCTCAAGGGGCTCTGCAAGCTGGCACGACCGCTGTGGAAACATAACCGGCCAGGACCTCAGTATCACTTAGCTGGGGCTAATTGCTTTTGCACCATTAAAGACAGGTCAGCAAGGGCTTCTGGGAATTGCAGTTTTCTGGCTGGTGTCCAGTCTTGTGTTGAATAGGGACGAGGGTTTATTAGTCACAGAGACACAAGGAGCATTTGTCAGTGTTGCTGGGCCGCATGAATCGGGTTGCTCGGAGAACCACAAAAGTTGATAATGCTTTCGGGTTGGCAACTAATTAACCTTCAGTCGACTGCAGAGGGAGAGGGTGAACGTAAGGTTGAAAGGAGGAGAATTTTGGGGCATGCGGACCTGAAATAGTCGCAGCATCTGGACCTGTTTTAGTCAAGCTGCAGAAAATAGAGATTTCTGGGTAAAGAGCTCAAATGTGGCCTCAGGCAGCAGATGCACACGAATAAGAGCATTAGTTAAGACTGGTTACGTTTGTATTGAGGTTAAAAGCCTAGTTGCACATATGGATGTGATGTATCACAGAAAACCAACACGAAAAAGAAATGTAATATTTTTATATTTGATATTTCTTCTCAAAGCATATTTCTGGTTTTATTGTGCACAGTAGTCCAAATAATTGTCTTCATAATCTTGCTATATATCAATATTATTATTCATTTTTCTCCAAAATTATTTTTAATTTAGTTGATAAAAATAAAATTTTAGTTGGTAACAAAACTGTGGAAAAGATGACAAACTGTAAACAAATAAAAAAAAAAATTTAAATGTTAAAACATTTAAATGTATCAAACTTTCAATATTTGTCTTCATAATCTTCATATACATGAATCTAATTACTTACGGATGTAATTACTTATTTTTAAATATTTTTTTCTTTTGATATCTTTTAAATTTAATCAAAATTATTATTCATTTTACTCCAAACTTATTTTAAATTTAGTTGATCAAAATACAATTTTAGTTAGAAACAAAAATGTGAAAAATGAAAAACTGTAAACAATTTTTTTTTTTTAAATGTATGAAACTTTATATTTAATTTAAAATGTCACTTTATCTACTTAAAATATCTATTATTGTTTAATGAATTTATCATGCTTTAGAAACCGTTATTAATCTTACATATTATTTGTATTATTGTATTATTTGTATTATTTGTGCATTTTCACAAGTTACACATTCTCACTAGTATGCAACTTAATTCAGATCCACCTATGGATGTTATATTACATTTATGTTATCGACTAATCCAATAATCTAATATTAAAACAAAAAATGTGAAGTTACGAGGTACAGAACAAAAAAAACAACTAATATCAAATAATATTTTTGTCAGTAACTTAGTTGATTATAATAACACTGTCAACTTTTCATGATCTAGTCAATTCCTGACATAAAAATCAAGTGCCTTCTCCTTTTTCAGTCTGTTTAACTTGGAAATATATCACATTTAGGAAGTAAAATGGGTTGTGGATGGGATTTCATGTTGATTTCAATCATTGAAGCCAAACCAACTAATATCAAATAATATTTTTGTCAGTAACTTAGTTGATTATAATAACACTGTCAACTTCATGATCTAGTCAATTCCTGACATAAAAATCAAGTGCTTTCTCCTTTTTCAGTCTGTTTAGCTTGGAAATATATCACATTTAGGAAGTAAAATGGGTTGTGGATGGGATTTCATGTTGATTTCAATCATTGAAGCCAAACCAGTTTTGACTTTTTGAACTGTTTTTATAGAAGTGTCTATACAAAAGGCGTTTATGTTATGTTTTTACATGTTTTATACCACATTTTGCAGTTCTGAGATGGCTTTTTATTGGTGTTCTTTTTCAGATACGCCATTTGACCTTCGGTTTAGCACAAATTGACGCCGGAACGCTCGGGTCCCGATCTGACACGGGCCGCTTTCCCCTTTCCCCTTTTCCCTTTTCTACTCTGCGCCGTATTAGAGGAAAATTGTGTTAATTTCCACTCGAGAGGGAAAAGGTTACGATTCGCAGTGGGCCTCCGCCGAGTGGAGGACGTACACTTGATTATGCAATCTGATTTTGATTTCATTAGGCATGCAATTGATGCGAGGGAACAAAGGGGTAATTTTTCATTCATAGCGGTCTAGCTGAGCCCTGTCTTTTTCTGTAGTCTGTAATTCATACACTTCCCTCTGATCTAAAGACCATTAGGAACTCTGGGGGGTGTGTGGGATTGAGGAGATGAGGGGGGGGTGAGGATGAGAAAAAGAAAGAGTGAGGGAGTGAAGGAGCGCAAATGAATGAACGCATGTGTCTCGATGAGGCCCGATCTAATCTTTCTGCTAAGTATTCACCGGAACCGTTTTAAATATGATCATTCTGCAAGCGTGCGTTCAGTTGTGTCACCGCTGACAGATATATAATATCAAAGCGCTAATGGGCCTGCCTATCGGCTTTAATCAATGACATCTGCTGTAGAGGTGTGTGGACGAGAGAGATTCACACCGAGCTGCTCGTGTTCATTTATGTGTAGTACACAGGATACAGATGAAGGCGTGAACTAAGATGTACCTTGTGCAGTGATAGACTTGATATATGCGATATTCAGTCATCTTGAGATGGTCGCAATGGCCGATAAATGTGAAATGCAATGAGAAAATTTGGCTGAATAGAGGAATTTTTCCTGCATTTTGTCAGTTTTTTAATTTATAGGTAGCTTTGTCAATGGATAGTGCATGCCTGTCTGTTTTCAAATAATTTGTAGAATAATTTTTGTTCCTTTTTTTTAGACTGATAAACCAATGGATTGGCTGATATTTGGTTATTTTAGAGATGATCGTAGTGGCCAATAACTGCACAGTTGGCTATACAAAAGAGGTTATTCCAGCCATTTGTCAGTTTTTTAAATCTACCGGCAGTTTTGTCAGTGGGTAGTGAATGTTGTCTGTTTTCAAATTATTATTTAATTTTTTTTAGTTGTGATAATCCAATAAATTCGTTGACATTTGGTTGTTTTAGAGGTGATCACAATGGTTGATATCTTGCATCTTTGTTGATAGATAATGCATGTTTTCTGTTTTCAATAAACCAATAAATCAGCTGATATTTGGTTATTTTAGAACTGATCACATTTACTGATAACTGTTCATTTGGGTGAACAGAACAGGTTTTTCTCGCTGGTTTAAAAAAATATACTGGCAGCTTTGTCAACGGATAGTGAATATTTTCTGTTTTCACATATTATTTTTATTTTATTTTTATTTTTTTCAAGAATTTTAAAGAGAGGCTGATAAATCAATCATAAATCAATTTCAAATTATCGCTTGACTGATAAAAGTCCAATTGCCAATTTAAAGAAGTGTTCATTCTGCCGTGCGTAGGCTACATTTTAAATTTACTTTTTACAATTTAATAGTGCAAATAAAAAATTTTTGGGGAGTGAATTTCATAAATTTTGCTGTAATTTTCTTTGTGCAGTTGGTTGAGGTAAATGCAAATGGCACTAATATCTAACAGATCACTAACTTATTACTGTTTAAAAAGTACTTGTATACAAAATTAAGCAAGTTTATAATGCTTTGGCAGTTGAAAAACTCCTGACCACTACAGTTTAGTAAGTACTGTGAGAATATACATCTTTTTTATGAGATATATATATTGGTTTTATAATGGCTACCCTTCTATCTAGCCATCCACATCAGCATCAACCAAATTTTTCGCCTCCAAACCTGAAGTCAATCCCAGATCCCTCTAAATGAACAATTTTGATGTGTTTGTGTGTATGAATGTCCTCATCCAGCACTTTTATGATTGAGTCTCCTTTAAGGACGCTTTACCACATACGTTAGTCTCATGACAGTCTCTTTCAATAATGGCACAATCATTTCAGATGCTCTTTTATATGTGAGAAGGAAATAGGATGTTTTGTATATCGCAAGTCTTTCTAAAACACTTTCAGATGCTTATTATCCAATACACTGCTTGAAATCGAATGGATGCCATTTCTGCATTCGATGAGCTTGAGTCATACGCTCTCAAAGTTGTGGCTGGAGATATCGGTTTATTGGTTGTCGCGACATTTCCATCAGACCTGCTGTATTTCGAATGTTGAGATCATTGCAGTATACGCAAACGGACACAGTGTAATCCGTACATATTTCCACTCAGAGGCGGTCCATCCAGGCAGCTGTCAGTTTGTAAGGGCGTCTCGGTGCCGTTTCGCCTTGACCTGAACAGCAGATGATCTAACGGCCCCCCCCTCCACCCTGACCCCTCCCCCGCCCTCTCCTCCACATTTGCATGGATGCTTCATTATCTCCGCACTTGTATATAATGGCAGCGGCGGCTCAGAGGGTCAGGGCTCGCTCCACGGCTCATCAGCCATCTGACAGCGCTCGGCGAGAGAAACGAGGAGAGATGAGGAGAAATCATCGCCACCCCCTGCTAATCCATCGCCTCTACTTAACACCACAACCTCAGGCCTCCCTTCGCTAGGACCCTAATACTTAGCCTAATAGCATGTACGGATAGCAAGAAAAGAGCCAAGGAGATTGGGGTATGTATAATATATATAACCAAATAAATAAGAAAGTAGAATGTTTATTAGCACAACGAGTAAGAAAGCTTGGAGGCACGGCACACACCTTGATGTCAAATAAAATTAATAAATGACGCAAAGTTTACATAAAGTAAAAATCAGCAAACACTGTGGAACCAATTAAATAAGAAACGAATGTTTAAAAAAAACTTCCAAAATCACCTTAGATAAATGGCAAAATTCAGCAGGCTTTTCAAAATCCAAAATATTGCCAAACAGGCGCTTTTGCATTTAGTTTCGAAACGAAATCATCCGCGATCGTCTTGTATTTCGATAAAAAATCAAAACGACAGTGGGGGTTGGTGACGCGGTGAGCAAGTGACGTAACCGGAGTTGCGGCTTAACACAGTCAGCACCGTCTATCGCGGCAAGCCTAATAGATAGATAGATAGATGGATGGATGGATAGACACTGATGGATGGATGGATGGATAGATAGATAGTAGGGCTGTGCAAAAAATCAAATGTGATTGTCACGCGCATCTCGTCAGTAAAGCCCCTCCTGTGATTAGTAGTAAATCTCCAGCACGTGCTTTCAGATGGAGCGGCATTTACTACACAGAGCCGTAGTTCACTGACAAGCTACTCAATATCGCGTTCAAAATCGCCGGTGATTCATTGCTGACGAGTCTGTGTAGTAAATGCCGCTCCATCTGAAAGTACGTCCTGGAGATTTACTACTAATCACAGAACCGGCTTTACTGACGAGATGCGCATGAAAATCGCATTCGATTTTTTGCACAGCCCTAATAGATAGACAGACAGACAGACAGACAGACAGATAGATAGATGGATGAGATATAAAGCATGCGATATAATGAGATATAATGCATATTATATATATTGTAAATACATAAGTTCCAAAAAATTTAATTATATAATTTATGTATTTATAATATGATTTATAATATATTAAAGATTAACAGTACAATAAATGTATTAATTTAAATGTATTAAATGTATGTATGTGCTATAGTCACTACCGTGATGCTTAAGTGTTGTGTGTGGTTGCCAGGTTGTTGCTATGTTGTTGATCACTATTTATATATATATATATATATATATATATATATATATATAAAAAGCACTAATGCGCTAATGATTATTTCCAAACAGGTTTTCCACACTCTTCTACTTCCCCTTCAGTCAGAACTATGGTCACATCTAGCTCTGGGTGACTGTGTGTGTGTGTGTGTGTGTGAAGTGGCAGGAGATCTCGTGTACAGTCTTTGCCCGACGCTCTCCTCTGATTTTCTCCACATTGTAATTGCATTATCCCCTTTTTTATGCAGAATTGTTCTCTGGGGACTAATTGATGGAGACATGTTTAATTCATCAATCATTAGCATCAAATTTGACAATTAGTGATGATTGTTGAATTCTTGATGGAGATGAGGCATGGTTAGGGGCTTATTTTGTCTTTTTTTCCCGTACCAGCCAAGACAGAGAGAACTAAATAAAATCATAAATAACAAGAGTGTGACATTATGTCCTTAAGGAGTTGTTTTGCAGCAAGGGAATATTGGACTGTCGTTTCGTTTAGTCGATTTTGAGACATGTCCAACTTAGATCGGAATTACTTTTCATCAAACGTGTCAAAGATTTTCTGACTAAATGGCTAATAGACGTCAGATGGCTGTGTATCCGTTTGTTTGCATTATAGAACTAGTTATAAAAATAATATAATATTTTATATATATATATATATATATATATATATATATAATTGTATTATTATATTAGAATTATATTATTTTTATAACTAGTTCTAAACTAGCTCTATCATGCAAACAGGGAGATATATATATATATATATATTTGTATGTTTGCATGTAAGTGTTATATATTATGTATAAGTGTATAAAATTTGATAATACATTTAATAGAATTATAATATACTATATAGTAAATGCACTTTAAAACATTAACAATTTCAATTTTATTTTTAGATTACATATCAATATTTTAGTCTTCAGTGTCCTCATCATCAGTTAGTGGGTTATAACACATTTAAGTACATTGCTGCAGGTTTTTATGAGCATTAAAGAAACATCATTGATACTCCAATGGGTTTATGAACACATAGTTCATAAGCAATTTGCTCCAAAACAATAATTACCTCTTCTGCAGGATGCCAATATCGTACGGCATTGATCCGAATAATAGCGGCGTCTTATTTTATTCATTGGTGAGGGATCTAGTCAGGGGCAATATTATGATAGAATTAATAAAATCTTCTCTTCAACAATACTAGTGTGATTACATGTCTCCGAACAGACAAATATAAGAATAACCCTCTATTCTTTCAATTACTCACGAATTACTACTGATTGTGTCAAGGCGCTTTTTTGCCAGGCGCCAAAGTAAACTGCGAAGAACAGACTCTTGTTAGCCTAATGCGTCCTAACCATTAGCGAGAGTAATAAGTGTATCAAATTCACATAATCATGTCTAATTAGTATCAGTAATTATCTTGTTGGGTGCGAGAATATTAATCTTGCGGTCCCCGTAGGGGAAGGGCGTCTCTTGCAGGGAGAGAGCGATAGAGCTTCAAGCTCACGCTGTGGAGTACTTGCTAAATTAGCATGCTCCAAATCAGCGCAGCGGAGGGAGGGGAGCGAAGGAAACGTGTTGGAGAAAAAGACAAAATTGCATAAAGCGAAAAACAACAGAGAAAAGTTTAGTCCCACTGTGAAATGCATTAGAGCCTAGTAAATAAAATATCAATGTTTTCTGTGTGCTTTCCAAGTTTTTTGTTGACGTGCGTGTGGGTAAAACTTTTAAATGGATTTCGTGATGCGGTTTACGTTAACGCTTAAGAAATCGTTCCGATGCATAGACAAAATCATATATCTACTGTTTCTTTAAAGCCTCAGGAACGGCCGAAGCATATAAACAGCCAATTACAAAATGTAATTTTAGTAATGTGCTGTTTTTTAAACATTTCAGTAAGAATAGGCTAACGGCAATATGAAACCAATTTGAAAATGAGCCGAGAGCAAACAATGTTGGATCTTAAAGAAGAAACGGGCAAGAAAAAATCATTACATAGGTATCCATCTGAACCTGACCTTGAGCCTGGAATGTGGAGATTTAAAGATGATCCATCGTCTCCATCAAGCAGGGCGCCTGTTTTTCGGGAACAGGAGGAAAGGACCCCATGCGACACAGTCGGGCCGGTGAACCCGCTGATTGAAGCCAGGGAGGGCCGTCAGCACAGCCGCTGCCGCCGGGAGAGATGGATGTGTCAGGCGTAGAGTGGGGGAGAGCTAATTACCGTTCCGAGTGTATCTTGTTAATTAAGGGCTAATTAGTGGCAGAAGCGCAGAGGGAGCAGGGTGAGGCACTGACTGCTCATGTAGCACGGAGAGACGAGCGCGGCGATCAGATACGGAATATATACGCAGAATCTTTACTGTACCTTCTGTAGTCCCGCATATGGTTGATACTTTATGGTTCTCATCTTGTCTATAGGAAAATGGTGGTTCTGAGATTGTTTGCTGATTGGCTTCAGGTTTTAGTAATAACTAAAACATAGTTTTGCTATAGATTTTTTTTACACGTACTATGGTAATTTTGACTTGTGATATGAAGTATGATTTACATTTACAAAAACTGAAGTAACTATGGTGTTTTTGGCAGAGACTGGTGGATTTTTGTTAAAGGGATAGTTCACCCAAAAATTCAAATTCTGTCATTTACATGCCTTCATTTTGTTCCAAACCTGTACGAGTTTCTTTTTTCTCCTGAACACAAAATAAGACATTTTGGTGACCATATACTGATGGTACCCATTGACTTGCATAGCATGGAAAAAAATACTGTGGAAGTCATTGGCTACCCTCAACTGTGAACTATCCCTTTAAATCGATTAGCTAATTATAAACGACAATAATTCCTTGTGGTGTCATGTAAATACCATAGTGAATGAATATGGTAGTCATTTAGTACTACAGTATACGTTTACAATTAGCAGATGCATTTATCTCAAAGTGACTTACATTGTGTTCAAGGTATACATTTTATCAGTTCGTGCATTCCCTGGGAATCGAACCCATGACCTTGGTGTTGCTAGCACTGTGCTCTAATGTTTGAGCTCTAATGTTGTTGTTTTTGGCCTTATTGCTACATTTATTGATAAAGATAGTAGTGAGAATGGGTGGATTATATGTGAAAACCGTTGGGCCATAGCTCCATCACGCTCAGGGAAAAAAAAGTCCAAAAGCTGTCACTGGGGCTGTACTCTTTCAAAAGGTGCTAATATGTACCATTTAGGTACTACTTTATACACTTTAGGTACTAATATGTATCTTTAAGGTACTACACTACCAGAAAAAAAGGTACAAAAGCTGTCACTAGGACATTGTACCTTTTCAAAAAGTATTTTAATAAGGCACTTTTGTACCTTATTTACCCCTAAAGGGTGCGTATTGGTACCATAAAAGTGACATATTAGTACCTTTTCAAAGGGTACTGCCCCAGTGACAGTTTTTGTACCTTTTTTGTCTGAGTGTACTATATATACTTTTGGTGCTAATATGTACATTTAAGGTGCATTTAACATACACACAAAGGTCTGTGAAATGTGATTTGAACGTCTCTAACTGAATCTCTCTCTCTCTCTCTCTCTCTCTCTCTCTCTCTCTCTCTCTCTCTCCTCGTCTGGCAGGCTTGAAAAACATTAAAAAGTCTTACAGATCCCAAACTTTTGACTGCTAGTGTACATTACATCTTTAAAAAAATTAAAATACAAAAACTGCTAGATTAAAAATGGTAATAACTGGAAATGCATCATCGCAGTCCATAAATAAGTTAATTGTGAACAAAATCCACCTCAGCAAGCTTTCATTCAACTACTTCTATTATTTGAATTCAACGCCCACATCTCAAAATCCAATCTACAACCGATGCATAGAGCCTAGGCCCGCCCTACATTATTTTTGCTTTCCAATAATTAAACTCAGATGAACTTGTATGAAATAAACATATACACAATAATGAATAAAAGATCCATTTCATCGCAACTTTAAACCAGTCAGAATAATTCAGCAACTGCTCTTTGTTTGCGACAAACTGAAGGTTTTTAAAATGTTAAAGATAGTAGTCTATTAGTAGTAGTAACTGTAGAAACTGTGGCACTTTTGTTCATTACTTGTATCAGTGGTTTTTGCTGTTAACAAGCCAATCGCTAATCAGGATAATTTGATAATTGCAGCTTTTTAATGGCAACTCTGGTCCCGCCACCAACTGCAAATAGTCTCTCCATTTCACCTATCATCTCTCTCTCTCTCTCTCTCTCTCTCTCTCTCTCTCTCTATCCTGTCAGTGCACTTGAGTGAAGTCAAATAATATATTTGCCGGGCGTAACAACGCTGCGCATTTTTCCCCCCGTCTTCACTACTTCTTTTTTTCCCCTCCCGCGTTGGAAAATGAATGCTTTACGGGGACAACATTCATCACTGGTTATTTCCCTCTCTTTGTCGGCTGGCAGTAAAAAAGCACTTAAATGCACATCAACAGAATAACAGTCATTTCCATGCATGTTTGCGCACTCGTCGTTCTCATTAGTGGCTGCTCTGTTTCTCCCCCCCGCCCTCGCGCTATCGCCGTCTCCGTTTTTGTCTCTCGCCCTCTCTCTCTCTCTTTCTCTCCTCCCCCCCTCCTTCTGTTAGGGTCCCAGGGGCCCCGCTAGTTTAAAGAGCGCTCTTTATGAGCAAAATGGAGGCCCCGCCGTGTGGCCCCGTGGTGTCGCAGACAGAACACGATGCCGCGCGACACTCGCCCTTCTCTGCTCGTCTCCGCTTGTCGAACAATCAATTTCAGCCCCGCTCCGCCATCGGCCCCCCGTCTACACCCATCAGCTCCACATCCTAAAGCAGAATTACTCAAAGCGGCCATAGCCGCAGAATGAGCTGCATATGTGTGTGTGTGTGTGTGTGTGTGTGTGTGTGTGTGTGACAAAGCACTTCATTAGGCCCTGGTGTAAAATAGTTATTGTCACACACAAGCACACATACTCAGACTTTTAGCTGTATCAGGATTTGGTGGATGCATTTTCTCTATGACCTGTTACCCATCAGCCTCTCGGTTCTTGCGTTTACTGAGAGTATTATAGCTTTACAGGTCATAATGGAGATAATAGAGTTTTATATCGGAGATCTTGGGAAAGTGCACACCTAGAGAAAACCTCATTTGTTGGGCGGAAGATTGCAGGTTTTCTTTTCTGTTTTGTCGTTGTTCTTGTGTTCATGTGATGTGCGTTGGGGTATGGTTAGACATGCATGCTGAACTAGTTGTACAACAACTGGCTTGTTGACTAGTGAGTAGGTCGCACCGATATGTAACTACTTATTTTAATGTCAGATACTGATCAGCCAGTAATTATGTTCATACTCTGGCAAATGATTCTGGCAAATGGCTGATTCTATGCTATTTTGTCTAAATAAATTAAAAATAAAACACACACACACAAAAAAAATCTATTTAAATGCTACAAGTGAATCAGAACCAGGAAAATTAAAATTTACAGTATACAAAATCAGATGTAATTGATGAATTACATTTAACTAAAGACGGAAATCTAACTGTAAAAATAGAAAAAATAAGCATGCACAATTAAATTTCCAGTATCAATGTATTGGCTGATACTGGAAATTTAATTGAAATTTAAGATATCTTGTTACCTTTTTTTAGTGCTAGTGTTATAAGGATGAATTTAGAGATGTAAACTACCTTTCAAATGTTTGGGGTTGTTTTTGCTCACCAAAGCTGCATTTATTTGATTAGAAATTCAGTCAATTGTAATTTATAATTAGTAACATATTATTATAATTTAAAAGAACTATTTTCTATTTTAATATAGTTAATAATTTAATTTATTGCTGTGATGCAAAGCTGAATTTTCAGCATCATTCCTCCAGTCTTCAGTGTCACATGATCCTTCAGAAATCCTTCTAATATGCTGATTTGCTGCTCAAGAAACATTTCTGACCATTATCAATGTTGAAAACAGTTGTGCTGCTTCATATTTTTGTGGAAGCTATGATACATTTTTGTTTTCAGGATTCTTTGATGAATAAAAAAAAAAAGCAATATTTTGAGATAGAAATATTTTGTAACATTTAAATAAATGTCCCTTTTGATCAATTTAATGCATCCTTGCTGAACACAAGTATTAATTTATTTTATAACAAAGTCTTACTGACCCCGAACTTTTGAGCTGTATTGTACAAAAGAAGATACAAAAGTTTTTATCTATACAATACAAAACATTACACCTCATTGACTTTCATTGCATGGAAGAAAATTATCTTTTGTGTCCCATAGAAAACAGAAAGTCATGCTGGAACGACATGTATCTGCAACTGCGTATCATCAGGAATGTTTTAAGCAAATTCATCTTTGATGCCTATTTAGGTGTTAAACAGAACTTAAGCAAGCCCCAGTCATGCCATTATCCTTGTCAAGGTTGAAGGTCAACCAGCAAATCAGGACTGTTAAAATGAGCAGCGGTAGATTGATAATCTTCTCAAACAGTAACTATTTCCATATGATGTGAGTGTTGTTCTCTCTCTAAGCTACAGCCTCTGAATACTGATCCTTCTGATTAAATCTGCACTCTGCTCTTAGTTATATGATATCTGTGTTGCACATGCTAGAGAGTGTCTTCGGTGTGTGTTTTGGAATTGTATTTCCAGCATGTATCAAACATCTCTTAATTATCTTGTGTACTTCACTAGTGTTTTGTTTTGTACAGTTTTATAAAGGAACTGGATTTTTACATTTTCTGAAAATGCAGTTGCTAGGGTGTTCAAGGTGGTTACCAGGGTGTTGCTGAGGTGTTCTGGTGGTTGCCTGGTAGTTTTCATACTCTGTTAATTAGTTTATGCATTCCACATTTGTTCTGATTGGTTTACATTTTTTTTGCAATTTGCTAGGCTATAGATTGTTTAGGTCTATAGGTGTTCTAGGTTGTTGCTAGATAGTTGTCTACGCATTTGTTCTGGTTGGTTGCTAGCATGTTGCTATGCATTTGCTAGGGTGTTCTGGATGGTTGGTTGGGTGTTGCAAAAGTGTTTTAGGTGGTTGCTAGGTAGTTGTCTACGCGTTTGTTCTGGTTGGTTGCTAGCATGTTGCTATGGAGTTGCAAGGGTGTTCTGGATGGTTGGTTGGGTGTTGCAAAGGTGTTTTAGGTGGTTGCTAGGTAGTTGTCTACACGTTTGTTCTGGTTGGTTGCTAGCATGTTG